GCAAATACGCCCCTGGTTGTAAGCCTCATTTTGGCACCCCTGTACCTTGGCGCCGGGTACATAATGTACCCCCCTGCCCCCCAGGGGTACGCCTCTGGGTCACTAAGGATCAGAACAGGACTACATGCACTTGGTCTCCCTGGAGATTAAATAAAGGTTTACAAAATTTAGTGATACTCCTTTTTTAACAGCTTCCCCTTCGCCCTATAGCACAAATACTGGTACAGGGCATCAGGGCTGCACAAAATCATGTGTGTGTGTATATATATATATATATACCCATGCGCCCTACCCTACCCATTGGCAGCTACAGCTGTCAATCACTGGGTCCCGGAGAGAGATTCCCAATCGGCACCCGGCAATCGCCGACTATCACTGACGGGGAAGAGGTCCTGTATGTAAACGATACAGATCTCTCCCCTGTCAGCTCCAGCATGCTGCTTGGTAATGCTCTGCATGACTAAATTTGATTTTTTATATTTTACTGGATACATTTTATAGCAACAAGTCCAAAATATTGGGGTTTTTTTCAAAATTGTTGATTTTTTTATAGCACAAAAAAATAAAAAATGCACAGGTGATCAAATACCACCAAAAAAAAGCTCTATTTTTTGGGGAAAAAAGGACATACATTTCATTTGGGTGCAGCATTGTATGACCACGCAATTGTCAGTTAAAGTAACGCAGCGCTGTATCCCAAAAAATGGTCTGGTCAGGAAGGGGGGTAAATCCTCTGGAGGGCAAGTGGTTAAGGAGTATTTTGTGGTACAAGGGCTGTACCTATTGTGTACAGCATATAGAGTAAATAGACTCAAGTTTTATTCAACCATTCTTTTGAATAATCTCCACTCCAAACTGCTATATGTTACATAGTTACATAGTTAGTCTGGCTAAAAAAAGACAAAAGTCCATCCAGTTCAACCATAGAAAAAAACAATTTATAATCTTATGCCCACAGTTGATCTAGAGGAAGGCAAAAAAACAGCAAAGCATGATCCAATTTGCTCCTGCTGGGAAAAAAAATTCCTTCCTGCTCCCCCGAGAGGCAATAAGATATTCCCTGATTCAACTTTACCTATAAATGTTAGTGTCCAGTTATATTCTGTATTCTGTGTATCTAAGGCACAATCCAGGCCTTTTTGAAGCAATCCACTGAGCTGGCCAGAACCAACTCTTGAGGGAGTCTATGTGATGTGGTCATACCCGCTATCTGACACCATGTTTTCATCCTCTTTTTTTATTGTAGGGCATCACAGTGGCTAAATGGTTAGCACTTCCACCTGGAGTTTGCATGTTCTCCCTGTGACTGCGTGGGTTTCCTCCCACACTCCAAAGACATGCTGGTAGGTTAACTGGCTCCTGTCTAAATTGGCCCTATATGTATATGTATGAATGTGAGTTAGAGACTTTAGATTGTACGCTCCTTGATGGTTAGGGACTGATGTGAATTTACAATATATGAATGTAAAGCGCTGCATAAATTGACGGTGCTATATAAGTACCTGAAATAAATAAATAAATATTGCTGTGTTATCCTGAGGATTGTACTAATACTCAATTCTTATCATTACAAATTAGGGTTGTAACAAGGTAATTCAATTAGTGAAAGTGTGATTTTGTAGGTCTCTAGGTCAAATGAAAAGTATTCCAATTATTTTTCAATTATGCATTACACAAAGAATTTGTATGCTACTCTATCATAGTGCTCTTACCATTTTGCTGCCTGTGCTGGTCACTGAGAATCAGGGAAACAAAATTTGGAGAAACAGTAGTTGAACTTTTGTTTGTATTATAGAAAATTACGCTGTCTGCTAGCTGCCTTAATGTTTATAGAACAGTATCCTAACAGATTGGATTTATATACCTTTTTCTAGAAACCATCTTTCCGTAATGACTTTTTTGTTCAATACAGCAAAGACATCTGGATATCTCATAGAAAGTTAGGCTCAACAACAGACATCCTTGTTTTTCTGAAACCACTGATGCAATACAAATAGCACTTGCCTGTTTTTACTGTGTACCATCAGTGGAAAAATAGTGAGTGGAATACTACCACCAGAATAAAGTGAACCTCTTGTTAAAGCATTTTCGTTTAAAAAATCCAAATTAGTTTATAACCAAAAGCTATAATTTTTAAACATTTTTTTTTACATTTTTATTTTATTTTTTTATATTATTATTTTTTTTTTTTATTTTTTTTTTACATACTGTCACCCTAGCAGTACAGTGTCACATGGTGACACTGTACTACTTGTGGGGGGTGATGAAGATTGATTGGGAGCAGTCATTGAGAAATACTGAGTGAGCTGTGATTGGTCACAGCTTGTGGTACAAGGCTTTTGTGAATAGCCTTGTACCATGTGACCTCTGTGATCATTCACAGATTTCACACGTAGTAAGCAATGATGTCAAAGTGACATCTTGCTTACTACTTTGCATGTGATCACTGATTCGCAATAGTGATCACATGACCGGGACCTCGTACAGAGGTCCCGTCCAACGATCGGTGTTTCACTGTGTCCAGAGGACACAGCGGATCATCGCGGTTCGCACTCCTAGGGAGCGCGCACAGCTAGAAAAGGCGGGTGGCGTTTAGTGGACTGTGCCGTTTATAAACAAGGCGGACGCAAGAGGTTAATAGAACAAGCTGAAGTTAGAATCTGATTGTCTACCATGCACAGCTGCACCAGATTAGGAGTGAACCAGTTTTAGTAAATTTTTGTCGTAGCGCTCAATTCGTATCCCAGAGAAACAACAAAGAAGTGAGATGAAATTTCCTAAAATTGAAACATGGATTCAATATATAAATAAAGAGGAAATAGTGAGCACTTGGTTGTAAATAGCTGCTAGCATTAAGGTTGAACCTCTCACCCTCAAAATGAATAAAATATAAAATGCAGCGTTAAAATAACATTTAGTGACTGATGTGAGCACTTGATTGCGCTAAAAGTGATATAAACATACAGTGTATCGTCATAAATTGACGTATAAATATATACTGTAGGTAAAAGAGTGACTTTTAGTGTTTGATGAAATAATCTGACATATAATCAGCAACGTAAAGTAAAGTCCAAAATTCCATGGAATCCGTGCTAGTGATATCCGTGATAGGAGCCGGTAATATGATTGCACTCACCAGAAGCGCAATATTAAAGCGCATGTGTATATATTATCCTCTGTGGTCATCAGGGTACGGGTAAGAATAATGGAATCATCTGGCACACAATCAGCATACAAGGCAACTCCAGACCTCTCTCACAGGACCCTCTCAGCATCCAGGAACAGTTCCATGATACTCCCACACAGGGGCGGACTGACAACTTATGGGGCCCCCGGGCAATAGGGGATCATGGGGCCTCTGTGTCCTTGCCCAAACTCAAAAAAGCCTATGAAAACGGTACCAGGGGCATCTCGTGGGGCCCCTACTGACAGTGCCCGAGTTTCCAAATGGTCAGTCTGCCCCTGCACAGGGGCCCCATGATTTTCTATTGCCCGGGGGCCCCATGAGTTGTCAGTCCGTCCCTGACTGCATCACAATGAATGTGTGTGTTTGCATATTGTTGCAAAAATAAAACCACAAATAAATAAATAAACAAATATGTCACCAAAAGGCGTGGCTACAGGGTCATATGTACATTACATCATTTCCACAGCTACGCTACAACGTTCGTACACAATGCCTTTATATCGTACAATATTCTCATGCATAAAAGCACATCGCTTTCGACCAGCAGCATACAATCGATGATAACCGGATGAACGATTTTCTTATAGTGTGTACGGGGCATAAGCATCAGGGGAGACTTTTTCACAGGCGCAGTTGTGGGAGGAGACAGTTATTGTGGAGCTGGGCAGCCAATGTTAAACCTGTCCTCTACCCAATAGGAATGTGCAGGAGAAGAGGATTGCAGGAGATGTAGTTCTTTAACCACTTGCCTACTGGGCACTTTTACCCCTTTCCTGCCCAGGCTAATTTTTAGCTTTCAGTGCTGTAGCAATTTGAATGGTAATTGTGCGGTCATGCAACACAGTACCCAAATTACATTTTTATCATTTTTTTTAGATAGATAGAGCTTTCTTTTGGTGGTATTTAACCACCACTTGTTTTTTTTATTTTTTGCCAAACTAAAAAAGACTGAACATTTTAAAAAAAAAATTTTTAATAATTAAGCCCTTATCCAATGGAGCTGCTCTTTGTTGAAAACATCAAACAATAATTGTTAAGAGAAAAACACAGTGCATAAAATTTATGAAAACAATATAAACAAATATTAAAATAAAAATTATAAAAAATGTCCAAATAAACATATGTGCCGAAATGAAAGTCCCAATCCATAAAATAAAAAATGTTCAAATCCAACGTGCTCCAAACTCAACAAAATTCTGCTGAATACAGAAATTTCAGTGTGTTCACACCACCCGTCACATGCAACATATACTGAACTCACCAGATATATTGGACTCTCTAGAATTAAGAGTCAAATATGCTTTCTGGATATTAAATATCCTCCACAATAGGGATTTTCACTACTCAGAAGAATCTCCAACCAAGGTATCTCCCACACAAATCAGTAGGTGTAAAAAAGAAAAGACTGATAGTGTAATACTGATAAAATATTTAATTATTAAAAAACAAATGCATCATATGCACTCACATGTTTAACATGAAAAAAAATGCCTTATGATCACTTTCCATGACAAAGAAATTGATATCTACCAATGAAGGTTCCTATAGCCTGTACACTGGCAGCAATGGTCGGATTAGATACAGCAAAGATGTCTCTGGAGCGCAGCATCCAGTGTGCGCTCCACTCACCGGATATGACATCACAGCGTAACGTAGAAAGCCACAAGTTAAGTCTACGCGTTTCACCCCTCCTCACTCTCTTAGTTTCTGTTATAAGATTTTGCAAATAAGTAATTTTTCTCCTTCACTGTTGTGTGCTAATGAGGCTGCAGTACTGGGCACTAGTAGGCGGCACTAATGAGGAGTCACTGGTAGGTGGCACTTGTGGGCATTGACAGGCATCACTGATGGGCACTGAAAGGCAGCACTCATATATGGCACTGATAGGTGGCACTGACTGGCACTGATAGATGGCACTGAACAGCGGCTCTGATGGGCAATGATATGTGGCATTGATGTGCACTGGTATGTGGCATAGATGACTGAGAGGTGGCACTGATGGGGCTACACTGATCATGAGGGCACTGATCATCAGTGCCTTGATCATCAGGGCACTGATCATCAGTGCCCTGATGATCAGTGTAGATGTGCCCCCTGAGGAATACCGATTACCAGCTATCTTCTCCTTACGTGCTGTCAGCGTGAGGAGAGGACTGCCGATAACAAGCATTTCCTTGTTTACATGTGATCAGCTGTGATTGGACACAGCTGATCACATGACAGAGCCTGTGTCATTGACTCTTCACTCTGATTGGTGATCTGCTGAGATCCCAGGGACACAGCTCACCACAATCGCAGTGCGGGTATGAGCAGCTAGAGTGGGAGGACATCATATGACGTCCTCCCAGAACGAGAGAACCGCCGCCTGTCCATCATTTCCTTAAAAGGCAATTAAAGACTGAGCTGCCATGGTGGGCTGGAAGGAGAGAGCTGAAGATGCCAAGTGACTTGGTCTCAAAGGATTGGTGGTTTTGTATTTATTTGCCTGGGCTGAGGAGAAGTGTGGATGTTGTTGAGAGGGAATGAATGCACATAAGGCTGCTAGCACCTAAGAGGGAGTGAGGAGCAGTGACAGACATTCTGGGACATCACAGAGGGCTAGTGGAGCTGTTGCCTGATCAAGGAGAAGGTGCTGTGGACACTGACCAGCTGTGCTGCCAACAGTAAGCAGAGTGTGAGCACCGCAGGCGTTGGCAGGAAACTGCTGGCCAAAACTCCACTACACTTTAACAAAAAAAGAGGCAGTGTTGCCTGCAAGTATCACAGAGCCAGTACCATCATCAATGCTTAAAGGGACATTATCCTGAGGACTCCAACATAACAGTTGGGTCCCAAGAAGCCAGAGATTATATTAAAGACTGCTGAGCTGTTGGAGTGGTGTCAGGGGTGGACTAACAACTCATGGGGCCCCCGAGCAATAGGGGATCATGGCGCCTCTGTGTCCTTGCCCAAACTCAAAAAAGCCTATGAAAAAGGTACCAGGGGCATCTCATGGGGCCCCCTACTGACCCCGGGCCTTCGGGCACTTCCCGAGTTTCCAAATGGTCAGTCCGCCCCTGAGTGGTGTAGCTTTCCTTAGTTAGGATTGCCCCAGTATAGATCTTCTTTCTACACCCATTTTTTTTACACTATATTTCTTCCTACTGCTTGCCTATTAGCATTATGTATTTATTGCATAGTTTTGCTATTTGCTGGGTAATTGTTGTTTCATATCTCTTTTGCCATTAGGGTACTGCATATATATCTGCAAGAAATATTCCCCACCCAGCCATGTGTATCATAAGGCATGGTACTATTTTCAGAGCCATGGGCACAGGAACAGGGGACCCAAGAAACAGTGCCTCCTTTAGGATGAGCACTACACTTGATTGGAACAGGTATGCTAGCTACATCGTTTGTGAATCAGCTCGATTATCCTTGTTTTCATAAGTACATCCTTTTGTCTGCTGAAGGCCAACAATCTAGATTAACAGCTATAAGAATCTTAACTACAGCATGCTCTTATAGCTGTAGTGTATGTTATATTATTTCATTTTGTCTGCCTTGCAGCAGCAATGCTTTTAATTCACCCCAGGGCAATCTAAAAAGTGAATGAATAAGCAAGGCAGTTTTCTTTGTTACCTGTACAGTTGCTATGGAAATCAATTGTATTCATTCTCGCTGCAGGAAGCCCACATAGGATTATGTTAAAATTGATATCTAGAAAATAAAGATATCACTCACCAATATAGAACCGTTCAAAGAAAAGACTGTGTAAAATACAGTGACTCAAAAACACACTTACATGCAAACATTTACACAAATTTATATATTTGCAAAGACACATTTCTGAAGTCTTTGGGAATTACCTGGATGTCTGCATGAATGCTTCCTAAAATGTGGTCTGATCTTCAGATAAATTGGCAGAAAAACACAATCTGGTTAAAGGGTATGTCTGGGTGATAAAAAAAAATTCAGTACATCTTTCTAACACCGCACATTGTATCCCTCTAGAGCAACGGTCTCAAACTGCAGCCAGGGGGCCAGATGTAGCCCTTTGCTTGTCTTTATTTGGCCCTTGGGGCACTATTCCATCCACTGACACCACCAAAGGGGCATAGTTCCTGTCACTGACATCAATAATGGGGTACTAGTCCTCCCAAAGACTCCAACAAAAGGGCACAATTCCTCCTACTGACACCAATGATTGGGCACAATTCCTTCCATTGACACCAATGATTCGGCAGAATTTCTTCCTCTGATACTATTCCTTCCATTGACACAAATATTGAGGCACAATTCCTCTTGTTAACATCAACAAAAGGCCTCAATTCCACTGACACCAATAAAAGGGCACAATTGTTTCTATTGACAGTGACACTAATGGTGTGGCAGAATTCCCTCCATTGGTACCAATGATGGGGCACTATTCCCCCCCACTGACACCAATTATGGGACACTATTCCTCCCACTGACACCAACGATGGGGCACTATTCCTCCCACTGACACCAAAGATAGGGTATTATTTACTTCCCTTAAATGCATTTTCTCCAATGCTCCATGTGCCATAAAGAATAATCAAAACATAGTGCCGCTTTAAAATTGATCCACAATGTCTGCTAGCAATCCAATACAGTGTACTTGCTGTGTAACTGCCTGTCTCCTTGAGCGCCATGACGTAGCCTTTGCAAACTTTTTCATGCTTCACAATATCTAGCTGGTGTCACATACCTGAACAAGTCCGAGCTGACTAGAGGGCTTTCCCTTACACCTCCTGTTCTGTTTCTCCTGGAGGTGGTGACAGGACATAATACGGCAGAGAGTGGCACAGGGGCCTTGTAGGAGATCTTGGCCGAAAGAACCTTGTAGCAGGTGCAGAACAGCAGATGGACTGATGAGGCGTCCGATGCAAAGACACAGTACCGCGGGCAGGAAGCAGGCTAACAAGCAGGCAGATGTACAATACTCTGTCAGATGTGGAGGCACTGTAGCAAGTACCAAACAACAGGCAGCAAGCTGGCAGATGCAGGATCTCAGGTGGTTAAGAAGGCAGGAGTCGGTATCAGCTGGACAGCAGAGATGCAGAATCAGGAACCAAAACAGAGTCAGAGCCAGGCCAGGTCGGTGAGCAGAGAAAGTACCAAAGCAGTAGGCAGAAGGCAGGTTCAGGTCACAAGCCGGAATCAGCAACGGGATATCAGGAATAAGCAGGGTCAAGACAAGCTGGTCAGAACAGTATCAGGTAACAAATGGTAGAAGCTGACGACCACTCAGCAATCCTCTGGTCTCTGGAGCTACTTTAAATAGGCAAGTGAGTGCCAAGTATTCACGCTCGCTCGCTCGCGCTAATGCACTTGCACATGTGTGAGTTAGGGCACAGAAACAAAAACATCTGGTTTTAGGCAGTGAACACTCCCGTTATTGCCAGTCCAAATATTGACAAGAGAAATGGATATTTCATTCTGCATATATCAGTGCCAGTCAGGAAAGTAGTGATTAGCTGCTCACTTTCTGACACCACTTGATTATGATAAAATTACATTGGTAAGACTTCATGAAGAATGCCTCCTGATTTACATACCTTATAAACAAGCATTGTCCAATTCTATGTTACAGTAAGAGGAGGCCCAATGTGTATCTAGTATAAATGAGCTCCTAAGTCCAAGAGAGCAATTGTGCAGCTGCACAGTCTGCAATAATGCTATGCTTACCGTTTCCTACTAGTCCTTGAAAAACTGTTTTAGTTTATTGACCTTTCTGGGAATCCTTGCACAAACACCTATTTTTTAGGTGATGTTTCAGCATTTCAAATGGATTAAAGTCTAACCATTCACCAGAGACTAAGTGGCTAACGTGCATTTCCAGTGCTTAGTGTCTTGGTCATCTTTCACATAGGTTAGTACACAAAACCTGATCAACTCTGGATCCCACATACAAATATAACTGCTCTCCAGCAGTTAATAGACACCAGACACTCCAAGAGTCAACGATTTAATGACAGGCATTTCAGTAGTCTAAGTGTTAAAGGCCAATCTCACTTTGGCCCCAATTTTCCTGCCTGTCCACTTTAGTCCCCCCCAACTTTATTTTTAAATATATTTTGCATGCATACCTTTTTCTTTTCTCTGTGGTCCAGTTATTGACATCATAGTTACATATTTACATAGTTACATAGTTAGTGTAGTTGATGAAAGACCATCTAGTGTAACCCACAGAGGGAAAAAACACACACACACACACATAGAAAACTTCCATATACACAATCCTATACTCACAGTTAATCCAGAGGAAGGCCAAGAAAACCCTCAATAAAGCATGATCCAATTTGCCTCATTTGTGGAAAAGGTCCCTTCCTGATCCCCAAAAAGGCAATCAGATATTTCCTGGATCAACTTTGCCTATTCATGGGTCATTTTGTTCCTATGGAGGTGGGCAAATCCTGGATGCAACAAGGAATTGTACTGCATAACACTACTACCATTCTCCTCAGCATTCTCCTGTGAGGCCAGTGTCACTTGAATGTTCTTCAGCTGAATTCAGACTTTATTGCACATTAAAACAACAAGCCTCCCATGCTGATTTATGGATCCATTTAAAACATCAAAGACAGACTCAATAAAGCTTAAGCTTTCATATATGAAACATGCATTAATAAGTTTAATTATTACAAAAATATCATAGTAAAAATGACTTGAACTGAAAAAGCTTGTCCAAAAGGCAAAAACTGGATAAAGGACTAGTCACCAATTTTGCCTGTGGGTTCCCGGTAGATGACCATTTTCTCATTACTGACTTACCATACCTTGTTTTGGACCATGACTCTGTGTGTTGGAGGCAATTTTGATGTCATGACTGGTGGGGTAATATTCCAAAAATTTTATTGAAATACAAGACATTTGAGATTAAAGACATGTACGGAACCCATTTTGCACACGTATAACTGAAGCAATCACCCGTAACGCAGACGGGTAGTCAGACATGTAATTGAAGTATGCAGTAAACATTACACAGGAGATCACGCTACCCAGTAAACAAAGTAGAATAACAGTTTCGCAAATATGGATGGTAAGCAATAGAGGTATAGAGGATGCAAGTGTCGGGGGTAAAAAGCGCTTAAGTAATCGAGTAGTGGAGCAAAAAGCAGCATTGATGTCTGAGGCGGACGCCTCGTGCAATTCCGCACCCGGTTAAGTTAAATTTCCTGCTTGTATGTAGAAATAGTTGTTTAAGAGAGAAATATGAGA